ATGCCAAGGTTTATTGACAATCGAGCACGAAGTCTTGTAACAAATATTTTACTAAAAATGGTGCATAATATACAGATAGAATTTATCAAAAAATTGAATTTCGAACAAACAATACTATTACTACATATGGCTTGCTTACGTCTTTTGATGCCAATCATTTCATCATACGCGCGTCTGCTTTCTGCAGGGGCACTTTGACCACAAGCGTCTCGGGATCTTTTCGGTCCAGTTGAACCTTAAAAGCATCCTGGTTATCTCGCTGAATCTCTGTAACGAAGGTCCTTGCTAAAGTCACCCTGGGTTTGTTCAAAAGCTTATGATGACTAATTATATTTAATACTAAGTGCTGATTCAAATGTCATAGCTACTTGCTTGCAAAACATAGCCATGAGTTCCCTATCGATAATGGCTTTCAATTCCAAACATAGTAGCTATTTCCTAGTACAACGATCGTCTGCACCACAGAGGCCTACAATGTCCGTCAAGTCTACCTGACTGCATGTAAACAGACAACAACCACGGGACTGCCGCGGTCGCACATCACAGCCAAGTGCATAGTTTACCTGGCATGCCAGGCGTGAATAATCGGTCATTTCGGGAGCTTCGTCTAACAAATCGTTCTCCTCTTCGCTTGCTGGGTTTATTCGATCGACTCGCTTAAAATGTTCCGGTGTGAGGATAACCATGCAAGTGGAGCAAGCACAGTTACCTGGAAAACAAAAAAAAGCAGTAAAAGCTCCTTGATGGACTAAGACATGTTTACCTCCACAGGAGCCGAAACCAATAAAGGGCATGTCGTTATCAAAGACAACATTCAATAATGTGTCACCAAGCTGTAATCAAAACTTAAGACTGTGTTTAGAGTTGCCAGCGTCGTGCCAACGCCGCTCCAGTGCCTTGCTGGAACGCCGATCGATCAGTAGGGGGTTCCATGGCGCTAGCTCGGCAAGAGCCAGCGGCATGCGGTCCCAATGGATTTTCGATGGAATTCAAAATAAATAAAAATGAAATAATACTTCAATTTACCTTTCCAGTTCCGACATACTTTCGACCACCGTAGTAATATTCAACCTTCTTATATTCAACACTTTTCGCTCGTGATCGTTGTGCTCGAGCCGAAAGAGGGGATGCGGAATTAAATGAAACAGAAGCAATGCCGAGAAGATGTCTACTATTTGATATAGGGGCAAGAGTTCGGGTTGCCATTCTGAGTAGACAATTATTAGTTGACTATAGCGCGAAAACACTGATGATAACGAAAATTTACGCACTAATCACATCAAATCTTGTAAACTGAAGCACACAGAGTGCTGGCGAACATATTGAAAACCTGGGCTTGCTTCAAAATCGAAAAGTAAAAGTGAATGATTGAAAAATATTGCTGACGTTTACGCAGACGCATTGATCGACGGTACATGATGAGGAAGCAATCAAAACAAGTACTTCCAACAATTGTTGAAAGTTTACGAAGGGCTGTACGTTCTATCGTAAACATGTGAGTAATGGCCATTATAATTGTGACACAATTAATATCCCAATTTCGCTCGTGAACTGTCGAAAGATGCTGTTTCCATTCCTGTTTTTTGCAACTTAGTCAAAGCAATGGCTCTCACATTTTAT